AAAAAAAAAAAAAAAAAAAAAAGAAAAATTCTAGTATTAATGACTACCACTAACAAGTACTATTCTAAGTATTACTCTATAAGCACTATTGATGTGAAACATTACTGAGTTTGAAACACAAATAACAAAAGTAACTAGTAAATAAGTAAAAAATACTATATTATATTCGTAATATTTTTTAAATATTGCTGCAATATTGTTAAAGTAATATTGCAAATTAATGTCACTGCAATGTTTTTGCAACATTGCGCTGCAATATGCAATAGTCTTGCAACGTTGTAGCAATGTTGCTACAAGCTTCTGTGTTGTATGGGCATTGCTGAGAGTCGAACCTAAAGGCTCGTCTATAATAGCTGTAAGAATATGGCTGTCAGGCTGTAACGTGAGCTATCAACGAATGAAAATAATTCATTTCGTGTCTTATAACCTTAGGGCGCTGTCCCACGGAGCGGAAATTTTCAGCAGAACGGAACGTGCGGAGTTAGCACGACCAATCACAGCCGTTCCGCTTTTCTTCCGGCGCTTTTTCTATTTTCCTTGTGTCCCATGGAGCGGAATACGCAGGAGCGGATCACGCGGAATAATACAAAAAGTAGACTTTTTAATTTTATTTCTTACTTTTATAATAATTTTAATAATATTTTATACAAATAATATGATATATGAAAAATTAATAAAGAGTAAAATTAGTTTCTTAGTAAAATACTTTTTACAAAAATATGCAACTATTTTACGATTGGCTAAACATATTTCCGCTGTCGCGTTTACCGCTTCATGGGACAGAAGGAAAAGTACATCAGCGGAATTGCGACGATATATTATGTAGTATAATAAAGTGAGATGTGTTGTGATTAATTATGGAGAATATATTATGTGATTTTTGTCAACTGTGATTTTTATCGACTGTAATTTTTGTGGCTGTTAATTAAACATAAACATATAAATATATTCGCATATTATACATAATTGTTTACTACAATTATCAAAAAATTAACATCTTATTACTTACAATCCCTCCACTTATTATTTCTAAACGAAATAATAAAGAATGTCGAAAAAAAATATATATAATAAATGTATAAGAAGCAAATGAGATATGTAAGATATGTTGAGATGGGAGCGGTGCACTTGGACACGGTGCATTTGGACACAGCCAATCACAGCACCGTATGATTAGAGACATTTGTAGGGTCCCTTGAAACAGCGACTTGTGATTGGACTGTGTCCAATTGCCCCGTGTCCAACTGATATACACCCTGTTGAGATTGTCCGCGACTATCTTTATCCTTTCCGCAAAATTGCAGCGGTAAGATTATAGCGAAACGGTACAAAAAAGAGCGAAACGGCTGGATTGGTCGTACTGGTTCCGCGTGTTCCGTTCCGCGGAGAATTTCCGCCCGATGGGATGTCGGCCATACAGTCATATTCTTACAGAAATTGTAGATGAGCCTCAAGAACCTCTAGTTCTTGAGTCGTTCACCTGACCTACTATCACTATGGGTGCGTTCAGATTCCTCATCTAGGTGCACTCTATTACTAGAAACACTACAGTATATGTTACATAAACTATAGCACTTCTAGTAATAGAATACACCC